GTGAATTAGCGAATTTTACTATACAAATATTTCTTAATTGGATGTTAAAGTTTATATGGGAATATTACATGACACGCTGATCCTTTAACAATGCATTGGCGCAAAAAAAACGCACACCTTTTGGACAAATGTGCCACAAATACTGCCTAAACAAAATACTGATTTTGTGCACTTTATTTACTGTACCAATATTGTAAATTGGCCTTTGAACTTAGCTTTATTGTATGGCAAAAAAAGTGTTACCTTGCCAAAGCACTGACAGAGCCCACTGATCTAATGGCGTTGTTGAGCACTCCAAATGCAAACTTTGCATGCAACAATCAGGCAGCAATTGACAGCACTCTGATCTAGTGGCATACAGGCATCGTCAGATTGACAGCACTCTAGCCCAATAATGTGGGGGCAGTCATATTTCAGGGTGACCGTGCCACTCTTTATCACAACCATGCTAAAAGTGCCAGTACGTGCGCTCATTGGCGCCCCTTCAGCTGGTGGCGCCCTAGGCGACCGCCTAACTCGCCTATGCCTAGAAACGGCCCTGTCTGTCACAGTTTGTGAATCTGACATAATGAGATGTTTTCATTCAGTTTCCGTTTTCTTTATTTCTTTTTCAATTCCGTATTTCTCATATTTTTCAATGTTTTAAAAACCCAAAGACTGCATATTCTACAAGTACCTGCTGCTTCCATCTAGTGGTACTTAACTAGAGCCTGCATTGTTGATACAGTCTATGGTTGATACACGTCAACAGCGCCACCCGTGGTCATCATACGCAAACGCAGCATGAGTTTTGGAAGCCTTGGGCAACTCTATTACTGTATAATTTTGGTATCTCGTTGGTTATGAGACTCTAAAGTCCTGTGTGCATCTAGCTTATAAATATAAAGTATTTCTGTTGCTAGCTGGTATTTCTTTACAGAGGTTGGTGCTACTGTTGGAGTGGTGGAAGCTGGTATGGCTGCTGCTGTGAGAAAAAAGACAGATAGGCTGGTTGTGGCTGGTATAGCTTCTGTTTTTGTGGGAGGGGTGGCATAGATACTGCCCTGACAGAACCTAACTTTAGGCCTACTTAAATTTACACAAATACATCCTATGTTCAAGCTTATGTTTGACTTCAAACAACTTAATATCATTGGAAAGCGAGGATCCTCTGTTTTTAAGAACTGGTTCACTGTTTTCCTTAAATGACATTTAAAACTTTTCCAAATAATACTTAAATGTATCTCCAACCACACACTGTTATGCAATTTTTGCTGATACTTGAACATGTCCCTAATTCCCTAACCTCGTCCCACACCACAAGTCCTCAAATTTAGCAGTGTGCTATTACTTGTATAGATTTATACCTGAAAATTACATAGATGTACATTGAATGAGGGACCTGAATATCATAACTGAACTATTCTGTACCAGTAAATAATCACCCAGAACAAGCAACAACCGCATAACAATTAAAACAAAACAAAAAACTCATACTAAAGCCAACCACTTACAATTGTTGTGGCAAGTTTGCACCACTATTTAGGTTTTGTTGTTGTTAAAAACATTTTTGCATTTACACTTAGGCTTGAAAAATGTGTAATCAAACTTTTACAGACTAGTTTTAGCACTACAAATTGTCACCCATATTTTGCAAAGGAAGTTAGAGTTTACAAAAGCATTTAGTGCTGTGATCAGTGTGGTAAAAAAAAAAGAAGAAGTTTCTATTGTCAGTGGGGAGATAAGAGTTTCACTGTTTCATCCACCAGAGATCTGTATGTATGACCACTTCCTGTTTAGGCATTGCGTTTGCCCTACTGTTTCTTGCTTTCTGTTACCCAGGAGACTGCATAGTTCACTGAACAGGACTGAGACCCCCCTAAAAAAAAAACTGTTGCAACACAGAGAACAGTGAAACACAAAGTAGAGAAAACTGCGCCCACAAGCATGTACAATGAAACACTGTTATGGGGATGATACCAAATCATCAAGACTGCTGCTGAACTGCTCAGCTGAAACAAAAAGTAACTTACAGTTGTGGGGGGTATCTGATGCTTGGAAGGGCCTTTGGATTGATATATTATGAAGCTTTCTTTTTGAAATGCCTCTACAAATCATGGTTGATGACACTGCCTCTAATAACCCTATGTGGGCTATTCAAAGACCCAATTACTGTAAATATGTCTACTATAGTATGTTCTTGAAACAGCTGTATTGTATGACCGAATGACACCTCAAACTTACTGGAATAGTATGGAAATGTAATCTTTCAATCTAGTGCTTAGAAGCCGGAAACGCGAAAGTCCTAATTGACAAACAGGGAGGCTGAACCGCTGGGCTAAGTATTATGACACTATAGTTCAATGAACTTTGTAACAAAACTACTGTTAAAATGTACAACACTGCTAATCAGACAATACTCACAAATACATAATGAACTAATTAGTTATAGTTATAGATTTAAAGAACTGTTAATATTGAGATGGTTAGCAAGATTAGATTTTTTTTAGCATGCTTTGAAACGTGTTGTGTGAAATTCTGTGAGGTGCAAATCTGTCGTGGGAGGGTGCTACTGCTGCTAGCCTTGATTTCTTCAGTTACTCACAAAATTGCCACTAACAAAAAGTTATTAGTATTATGATATTGTAGCCCTAATGTTGTGTCATTTTTCTAATCAGCAGCTAGTGTCTGGCTTAGGCTTCACTTGTCATTTAAATATATCACAGAGTTCACATAGGCCAACTTTTTGACTGATGTTGATTCTTTAAACCTACACTGTTTCATATGGCTTGGTAAGTGATGACTGATTATTGTGTTGCAGGTCCATGAAGGATTTTGATTTCGTTTGTTTGTTTGTTTTTGAGGAAGCTAATATGTAATTTAATACTGATGGATAAAACAAAGGGTTTATTACTTGATAACACAAATAATTGCTCTCTAATATCTTAAAATATTCTTTATAATTAATGATGTGCAAACATTATAAATATTTATACATGAATAGTGAGCCCATTCTACTTATATATGCATAAGCAGTTATTTCCATCCTACAAGCCTTCACTATTATGGCAACCTGTCGTTCAGTTTCACTTGTTTTAATAGTTTTTCTTGACCTGTTGTCTTAAAATCACAGTTTATATTGCGCTCTGACAGCTGGTATAACATTTGTATTTAGCAATTAACCATTTCAAAGTCTTTTCTCATTCTCAGGTGAATGCAGGAACTGATAAAACATATACCTGCAATTGCTTTGGATAAAGGCATCTTCCAAAAGCATAAACGTAAATTAAAACCTGACTAGGCTAAAGGGTTATAGAAAAAAAAGGTTTAGATGCATCTGAATTCTTCTGCACATTCGTCGTAAACTGATTAAAGCAAAGGTTAGCTACAGAAGCACAGTCATTCTTGAGACGTGGGACAAAACAGGTCCAGCAAGGGTAACTGCTATTAGCTTTAAAAATTCAAAATATTTTCAATTTTAAATGTCATGAGGGATTAATAATAGAATGTATTTAACACAAGTATCACCTTCAATTTAATTTTCTCATTATTATACCAAATCTGTGTTTCTTAGTGTCCTCTCACGACATCTAAAACAGTGTGTTATTACAAATTCAGGTGTTCGTCACCACCATCAGATGTGTCACCTCCGTCAGTTTGATAATATTTCATTATGATATTTTATATTTGTTGTGGAATTGTTGGTCACATGTGAAAGTGTAATCTGTCTGCTAACACCAGAATGTGTTTTGAAATGTTAAAAACATCTTGAATGCTGTTAAAGATAAAGTTGAAATTATATTACACAGTCCAAGGTAAAAAAAAAATCACATTTTGTTAAAAAAGAGAAAAGTTGGGAGGTTGTATCAAAGCATAGCTCAGTAGCTTAGTACATATAAGAAATATATATATTTAGTTTCATTTGTCTGAGTACAAGGTTTTATTTTTTCAATTTTGCACCGTTTTGCTCCACTTCTCAAGAATGATTTCGTGAAGGTTCAACCTCCCTTGCCTGCTCTGACGCCTGCAACAGGATTTTAGTAAGGGTGAACGTCCGCTGGTGCTGTTATAAAAGTTCGTGTCTGGTTAAAGCCGAAAAAGACACCACGGGGGCGGGGCTAATAGTTTCGTCCCGCCCCCATCCCTCACTGAAGAGAAAGAGTCGAGATGAGAAAAGTTCAGGAGCACCTGAAGCAGGAATGAGCAGCATCGCACCTCAGCAGCGTTTTCATCTTGCACGATAGAAACAGGTTTTCTAGATAACAAAGTCTCTGAGAAATTAACCAAATTATGAAATGACATAAATCTTTTGGTTTGTTTTTTGCCACTATGGGTCAACATTTTTTACTTCATGACAATGTCTTCCGTGCAACTGTCTTGTTTGCTGTGCTCGTTTCGGTAAGTTCTTTTTTCTCTCTCTCAATTTTTCTTTATTTTTTTTTATCGTCTTGTTAAGTGTTGATGTTTAGATCCGCGTTCGTCTCCCTTTTTTTCAAAGCTGGTTCTTTAAAGTAGCAGCTACTAGTTTCGTGTCGTTAAAATGAATCATGCTTGCTTGTATGACATCCTGTGTGACTGAACCTCTTATGTTTCTGAAGTTCTCTTAAGAGTTTTAACTATAATTTAACGTCGTTTTGGAACTGTTTTGTTCTACTTTTAAATATAATTACACGATATGACGTATGTGCTTTTGTATGCGATAACAAGAACAACACTATTATCTTCAGTTTACCCATGACACATTTTGTCTTGTTGTCAATAACTTCTGTTCCTGCTTACAAACTCTTCCCCAAAACTCTTGACCGCATGCACAACTGCAGATTAGTGTACAATAGTGATGTTAGTAAACTGATATTTCCACCTATCTGCTGAATGAATATGACTGTTCTAAGATGTCTGGCATCCGCGGCTTTTAATGATTAATATTGGACATTTTCCATTATGTCCTCTTTAACCAGAAGTGCAACCGTAATCTATGCAAATTTCTTCGGTTCATCTCATCTCAGTCGGTTTGCGTTGGTGTGACAGATATAGACTGGCAAGCTGACAGACAGCAGGAATTTTTGGGATAGGTTTTGTCCTGACAGTGCTTTATTGAATAAGTGTTTTTCTCTTATTTTCAATAACCTCACCCAGATACAGGATTTTGACCCACATTTCTCCGTGTGTAGATGTGACAGTGTTATATGATATCACGTTTTACATATGAAGTTTGCTTCTTATGTATTGTTGTATATAACCGTCACCTTTGAAGTAGTGTGTCTTTGTTAAACTTACACCAATAACCTTATTAGCTGCTGGTGTAACTGGGTGGAGACGTCATGGACAGTTTTGTCCAAACTTAGATAAGGCCTGTGATTTTAAGGAATGGCCTGCACTGATTCACAAGAAACCAAATAATGATTCCACTGCCTGATACAGAGGAAATCTCTTCTCTTCTCTTCTCTTGTGCAAATGTGCGTGCCAAATGGCATTAATCCTTGATGTGCAGCAATTAACACCACCAGGAATGTACAGAGTTTTACATGAATGTCTCATGAAAATAATGCCCGGCCCATTTAGGAACAGGGAACAGAAAACAGTCTAGATCCCCACCGTTCCCTCTCATTTCTAATCACTGCAGCCATCTATAGTGATAACCATTATTATGGGTGGTGCTGCTATTTGAAGAAGTATTTTCACAGAGACTTTTTTTTATGTCATGCACTGGGCCATTTTGGCTGTATGGATGAATAACTTGACGTGCATATATTATACACATGCTGAGGTATACACATGAATTAAAAAAATTAATGTTCAGGCATCAAACATTTATACCCAGAATATTGTGCTGAACGTAATATTGCTCTTGATGTGATTGTCATGTTTTTTTGTTTGCTTGTTTTAATATAAATACAAAACATTTTAATGGCATTAATCCTTGATGTGCAGCAATTAACACCACCAGGAATGTACAGAGTTTTACATGAATGTCTCATGAAAATAATGCCCGGCCCATTTAGGAACAGGGAACAGAAAACAGTCTAGATCCCCACCGTTCCCTCTCATTTCTAATCACTGCAGCCATCTATAGTGATAACCATTATTATGGGTGGTGCTGCTATTTGAAGAAGTATTTTCACAGAGACTTTTTTTTTTTGTCATGCACTGGGCCATTTTGGCTGTATGGATGAATAACTTGACGTGCATATATTATACACATGCTGAGGTATACACATGAATTAAAAAAATTAATGTTCAGGCATCAAACATTTATACCCAGAATATTGTGCTGAACGGAATATTGCTCTTGATGTGATTGTCATGTTTTTTTGTTTGCTTGCTTTAATATAAATACAAAACATTTTATCTAAAGGGGTCATATGATGCGATTTTCAAGTTTTCCTTTCTCTTTGGAGTGTTACAAGCTGATTGTGCATAGATAAGATCCCTGAAGTTGCAAAGACTAAAGTCTCAAAACCAAAGATATATCCTTTATCAAAGTTAAGGGTCAACCACACCTACCTAAAACGGCTCGTTCTAACACGCCTCCACATATCTACCTCACTATGTGGAAATATTTGCATAATTTTATGGACAACTGTTTCGTGAACCTAGGAGAGGAGGTAATTCTGACTTTGCTATGACAATCTGGTGCTTCTGAATCAGCTACTGTTTTGTTATTATTTTAAGTATTTGCTATTGAAAGTAGATGCATTTAGGAATCTTTAAGATGACTTACAACAGAACAGCAATGCATTTTATGGACGACCGTTTCGTGAACTGTTTTGTTATTAGTTTAAGTATTTGCTATTGACTGTTCAAATGTGGAGTTTTGCGCATCGTGTGTGTGTGTGCACGAGAGAGAGAGAGAGAGAGCGTGAGAGAGCGAGCATGGAGAGGGGGAGAGAGGGGGAGAGAGGGGGGGGGTCACATCACAGTGGAGTCAGCTGTCTTAACCGTGGCTTGTGTACTGCAAACACATACCAGCTTCATCACTGTGTCTGTCACGCGACTCTGTTCCCCTTTCGGGGCTCTGTCTTTACATTTATTTTGAAAGATGAAGCTCGCGATTATGGCAAGGGCGTTACATTTCTGATGATTGCTTGCGGTGTTCGGCCAATCACAATGCACTGGGTCAGCTGGCCAATCAGAGCAGACTGCGCTTGTCGGAAGGAGGGACTTTGTAGAAAACGAAGCGTTTGAGAGAGGCGGGGCATAGAGGACCTACAATAATGTACAGTATTTGAAAAAGAATGTGTTTTTGAACATTAAAGCATGTCAACATATTCTGTTACACCAAATACACAAAATAATGATCTTTAAAAAAGCATCATATGACCCCTTTAAACAGAACTAATTCCTTGTATACTAACTTTATTATGTTGCTGTATTCATCGATCTGTCTTCCATACTAGAGCTTTTTCCATCAGGCCAAAACTTTAATTAAAATATGTATTCTAACAGAATTTGGTGTGCATTATGTACAATAAAAAAAAAAAACGCTGAAAAAATGTGAATTTCAAGATATTTTATTTATAAAATCCCCACAGCATTGAATTTACCCTGACAATATTTCCATAGTCAAGTTGTGTCTAGTATTTTTCTGTCAGCCGTTTAAAATCACAACAATGTTAAATTTGTGAATGAATTTGCTTCTTTTCAGTGAACTGGTGAAACAGTCTTGCAATTCAGTCTGAGTCATACAGTTCACTAACTAAATTAGGCCTAGATGATGTGGTTTCTGAGGTAGCAACTGAGTAAACTCAGTGACAGGATACAGAGAACATAAAAAACCCTAGATGAAGTGAATTTTTACCTATGACCAACTGAAACGAATAACATTTCTAAATAGTACATTTGCCATGTTTTTATGAATTATTCTGTACATGGTATTATATATCACATATGGTATGTCTCCACCACAAAATGTTTCTTTTAACTAGTACTGTACAATATGTTAGCAGTTTAAACATACTGTAATGTTTTATTATGTACTCCTTTTTAGTGTATAATGTTTTGTTAATGTTTATCTTTGTGTACATTTTAGAAATGCTTTGTCTTTACTTTGTTTTAAAAAAAACATGTATTAGATGAAATTACAGTTATTCTTTTAATACAGGCTTACAATAATGTATATTTTATATAAAATATGAAGTATTTCTTTTTATACTACTATATCTGTACATTTCTTGATAACTAGCTACATTTTTGAGTAGCTTTGAGGCTCGGTGATGCTCACTGGTTAAACGAGAAAGTAAATAAAACAGAAGCTCTGCCTGAATTGTGCAACTTACTTGAAAACGTGCTTCATTTCTAAAGTTTGGAACTTTAGTACATTTTCCCAAGCTTGGAAATTCAGTCATCTGTGAGATAAAGCTCATCTCTGTGCCTTCCCAAAAATGCTTGTGTCCAGTTGTATATAATGCCCTCTTGTAGAAGGATTCTGTCCTATTACGGGGGGGAATAGATTAGACACACACACTCTCAGAGTTCTGTGTTCAATGTAAATTTCGGTCCATTCATTCACATTCAATGGGTTATTGTATGTCACAGCTAGTTGAAAGGCACACAAACTTGAAATGTCAGGTGTCATAAAATTGTGCAAGTCATAAATAAACAGATAATGTAGCACTTATGCTAATATGCCATTAAAGTTGAATTGTCAGAATGCTGCTCTGTCGAATTATGCCACTCTCTTGCAAAGGAAAGACAATGCAATGTATAATTAATTAACAACAATTATGGCAGTATTTTATGTGACAAGCATTGTGTACAACTGGTCATTAGATGGATATTGCATGTATTTCTTCTGTAAAAACACTTAGGTGCATTTTAAAATCAGTTTTAGACTGTCATTCATGTAGTTGTCAGTCTGTCTGTCTCATTTCCTGTCCTGTCTACACAACATGTCTCACCCTTCATATCTCGAACTCTGTAGTCTTTAGTAAAAAACATTTATACAGAAGTTCAAACATACTGTACATGTACCTCTCTCTCAGGCATACACACACCGAAATTTAAAACACCCACTCAGAGGTGTGTTATGTGAGGTAGCCTTTCATCATAGCTGGGGAAAGATTGTAGGTTTATCTGTACATTGCCCAGATGGAGAAGTAACAGCAACATGCAAATACAGTGTCTGTCGCTGTGTATTTGCATGCATTTAATAGGCTGTAAAAGGCCTTGTAGCTCAATAGGAAGAGAAGGGCTCTTATACAATCTGTAGTGATGCAAATGTGGAGTGGAACTTAAGCACAAACACATCACAAACCATTTGGTTTATTTGTTTAGTGCTTAATTTCTCAATGTTCTATGTACACACACTAGTACGTGTGTGACAGCAGGGGGTGTTGCTGAAACAGCTCAATTCGAAATGAAGAAGTTTGAGGCTTTTGTTTAAAAAAACAAAAAAAGTG